ATGGTACTTGAAAATCATGCGGATCTAGAAAGGTGTGATTAAATATTACGTCACTGTCGTCTTATTGTGCTCCGGTGTCCGGCGGTAAGTTCAAAATATCCAAAATTGTCATGGGGAGGAGCAGTTCGACTCATATCTATATGAATATATGTGGCGACGCTCGTGTGGCACTAAAGATCAAATGAGGGAATTTTTAAATGTCATAAAAATTGTGTATCCGCCCCATTTACGAGATCTTGCTTCGTAAAGAGTGAGTAAAATAACGAATTATCATTTGAAAATTTCATTGTTTTTTGTAGCTTTTTAAAATCGTCCATTACCATGCATTTCTGAATTTTAGGGTTAAGGTTAGGGTTTAGGGTTTATTGTTAGGGTTAGGTTTAGGGTTAGGTTTAGGGTTAGGTTTAGGGTTAGGTTTAGGGTTAGGTTTAGGGTCAGGGTTAGGGGTAAAAGTGCAGTTCAGGTGCGTATATTATTTCTTAACGCATTTCGTATTTTCTCTTGTAAACTTACGTGTTTTCTTTATTAATTAAAACCAGGCAGTTATAGTTAATTAATACTGACTTATACAGCCCTTTTTTTGTTTTTATTTGATTTCTAAATCGTCTTTACACCCCAACCAATGTCTCAAAGCCCCATTTGCTTTGTTGTTGTTTTTTCACCCTATGGCCAGATTTTTAATCACCTATACTATAACCTAGTATGCTAAACGAAATTTTCAAGCTGTAGGCATGTTCACCAAAAAATAATGAAATACTGGAGAAGAAAAGAGGTTGGGGGAGGGGGGGGGCGTCCATGGTTTGCCTTGTAAAAGTTCTGGGGTGGGGTGGATGAATATACATTTGTTTTGGTTGTTTTGTTTACACGCTGTTCTTTATTTCATGTCATTTTTTTTTAATTTTAATGTCATGATTATGTCTCTTTTGATAATACTTTTATGTACAACTCGGTGAGCCCAGCCGTACGCTGGGGTACCGCGCTATATAAGACCACTAATCATTATTATTATTATTATATTATTATCCCATTCCTTAACGACACTAATGATCGGCATTTCGCACGCCCCCACCACCCTTTGTTCTCTCAGTGCTCGGAGAAAATGTACCGATAGTCAGTTTCTTTCAGAAATTTTCCCCCCGGGGGACTCCGGGGGGGGGGGGCAGTTCCAGATGATTTATTGTTAGACATATTTTTGCTGGGGGGGGGCCTTGGCTTTCCCCAGGGGGGGGGGTTTCCCCCCCCCCCCAGGAACGGTTGAGGCGACAACACTAGACACATTTGTGTCTATTGCCTCAAGCCTTCAAACCCCTAGTGCATGATTTCCTCATCAACACCAGTAACAGAAACATTGCAAATCCCATCTACATGCATAGGACCCAAAATGATAAATAAATTGATCGTGGGCACTTAAGATATAGAAGAAGAAAATATTTATAAGTAGTGGCTATAGGTACCCGGTACGTATAGCCGCAATTGGCTATTCGGACCTGGCTGGTCACGTGAGGGCTTTACATCTTCGGTTGGTCACGTGACGGTTATGACGGATACTTCCTGTTGGTTTGCCATCTTAGATCCATTATTATAAATCGAGAAATGTGCTATAATTTGAAGATTTTCATTAGCGTTAAAGAAACACAAAGAGCAATGTTAAGTACAGCTAAAAGCAAGTAAGAATACGTTTATGTTTATAATTTTATTGTATTTTTAAATTCTATTTTAAATATAGTTCTATAATCATTAACATGACATCAATGAAGATTCAAGATCAAAGTTACTTTTTTTTTTTTTTTGGCGGCAAATCGGCTACTGTCGTATTTGTAATTGTAATGAAAAGTTTGGCTGCGGCTATTAGGACCCGGTATCAGAAGGGGGTACTTCAATTTTAATTCACCGCAAAAATTATTATTCACTTTTCCCATTAAACAAATGTTCTTTTGAATAAAAAAAAATGGCCAAAAACAATTCGGAGAGATCAACCCGCGGCCGCCATCTTGGTTATCGTGACCCACGAACTTATGTCCTAAAT